CCGCGCTGCAGGTCTGCCCGCGGGCACAAGGAGCGTCGCCCTAGTGGGGCGCCTCAGCCTCCTCCTTGGGGAGCGCTGGGTTGGTCACCTCCGTTTCGAGGCGTTAGCCGAGGGTGCTCTAAGCTCGGGCTTCTCCCCGGTGTTAGTGGCCGTGGGTTTCGCGCTGTGGCTGCGCTGTTCCGCTGGCGGCGCCCTGGCCCGCGCGCTGTGTCACGGCCGGTGGCGTGCGGGGCTTGTGAGCCGCACAGCAGGACCCAGCGCGGCTGCAGCCGCTCAAACTGAGTCATCCCCAGCTCCCCTCTCTGCAAATAAACCAGTTTTGAAGCGAAGGTGCCTTCGCTGGYGGCTGCCTTCTTTTGAAATTTGCCCTTGCTGGCTTCTCTTCTCCATCACGATAAGTTGGGGTGCTCTGGAAGTGCCTTGATCAAGGAGAGACCAAAAGCAGTGTCTTGGTATAACCCACTGGCTCTGCACGAAGCCTCATCTCTCTTACCAGGATCAGCTCAGTACTTTCCAGCAACCTTAATCAGACTTAAAAGCTGAAGGGAGTCTCTCTTCAAAATGAAACRCTTTTCACCAAGAGAAAGCTCTTTTGACACATTGAGGATGTTCCCATGCACGGCACTGAGTGCAAATATGAATCCTTTCAAAGAGCATTTGCCAAAAGCAGTTGCTTCTAAAATAACTGGGGCTTCGCTTTGGATTTTTTTTTTCCTTGATAGGAAATCAAAAATAGAACTGGCTTTGTTGTTGGCTTAAGCTAGGTGAGGTCCAGCAGTAAGGTTTCAGCATGCCAAAACTGTTGAAGATGTAAATACGGGATCACTGGGGTATCACAGGAAGAACTGGAGGAACAGAAATATGATGGGACTTCCACTGAGCAGTGTTGTATTTTTAGGGACTCGTGACAAGGTCTTTCTGCTATCAGCAGCTGGAAACGTTAGAGGAAAACAGTGCTGTGAGTCGCAAATATGGTGTGGCCGTGGAAAGCTTAACCCTGGTTCTGGATAGGTAATGGAGAAYACCCCTCTGCTGGAGCTTGGGGAGTATTAATGCCGCTGTAGATGGCACTCTTGAGATCTCATTGCAAGGTGGGTGTTGCTGGTTTCAAAAACTGAGCTACCAGAATTGAATTTATAGCTGGAATAGGTAGGGGGAAAGATGCTTAAGGGGCAATGCAAGGGCTGTTGTGTCACAGGAAACCCACAAATTAAGGCTATTTATTTCTAAAAATGCTTTCAGATGCTTTTGAGAGAGAAAGGGTCTTCCTCTTCCAGKTCTGAACTGCGCAGCTCTCCTAGCACCTTCCCAGCGCTGTGTTTGAAGAGGTGGTTGCGTGCACTTGCATGTTGAGTCATGGCATCAGATGAAATGTTGCCATGGCTTAAGCTGCCACATAGAGCAGCCTAATTTAGCAAAAAGTAATTAAGAACCTGCTTAACTCTGAACATGGGGGTCTCAGCATCCCCTGCACGGGGTTGACCTTGCTTGCATGGGGTTTRAATAAACTGAAGGGAGCTGGGACTGAGTGAGGAGTGCGTGGGTTGGGGAGAAGAGGAGGGCAGGTCTCCTGCCCTGGCCACCCCGCTGTGACTAGGAAAACCTCGTGGGCTCTTGTGTCTCCAGCTGGAGCCTCTTGGGGCCCGCTGAGGGCACCTCGCAGGGCTTGGGCTTCTGGAGTTCTGCAAGGTCTGGAGCTGCCTTGAGGGAAGAGCAGCGCGCTTGGTGCTTCCTGTGCCTGCAGATGCCGAGGGCGTAAAATAAAGGTGGGAGAGGAGAATGTTCCACCATGCAGGTGCTCCACTTAACCTATGCTTGTGTGCGTTTTGCTAGTATAGATTTTTCCTWTTTTTTATTACACAGGGAACTAAAAATTGTGTATTACCTAATGCTCAACTTGATAGCAGCTAAGTGCTGCGTGGATTATAACGTCATGCTGTAATACCTGTGGTGCTGCCAGTGAGCTCTGGGTCAGAGGTGGAAGAAGAAGTSTCCTTTCTCCAGACTGATGGCAGGAAAGGAAGAATATTTAAGTTTTACTGAGCACTTACAGGATTTGAAAAACTCAGAGAAAAAATAGGGTACTTAGTGTGAAATGCATCTTGAAAAGCATGGAAATTTCGGTATTGGCTTCTATGCCTTGGTGAACACCACTGAAACAGGGCAAAAGAAGCTCGTCTCTCCTGTTAAGGGATGGCTGAGGATACATCTCGATTAATTTCTATCTTCATGCCTACTTTCAGGTGAACACTAATGCCATTTCAAGGCTGTCAACCTGAGGATTGCAAGGGCTTAACTGAGCTCATTACAGCAAATGTTTAACACTGCCTTGAACAAAAGGCCCTAATATTTCATTAAATTGGTTTTATTACATATTTTGTGACGCTGTGTGTGAAAGGCACCAGATTTATCTGACTGTAGTTACTTTTCCATTTTCCTTTGTTAACATATTAAATTCTGCAGTATCTTGCTACAGACTCAAAGTACGGTTGGGAAAAATCCAGAGCGTGTAAGAAGGAGTCGAAGAGAAAACTAGACTTAATTTAATAGCAAAAGTAAGTCGGTGCCCTGGAGGAAAGCRGGGAGAGAATTGCAGGCAGGGGTTTGGTCACACGTGGAAGCAGCAGCCCTGCATAGGGGACAGTGGCCGGAGAGGGAGGGTTGATCCGCGTGCGGATGCTCCAWGTCAGTGCTGGAGCTTGGGCCTGAAGGGCTGTGTTGGAGGGTGTCCTCTGTGCTCTGAAACGTGGGCATTGCTGGAGTTGCGTTAGCCCCTCTCTCTGTGCAAAGCTTTCCTAATATGGTGCTCATAATGAGGAGGGGTTCTGGTTATTCGGTCTCCTGTAAGAACGTACTCTGTGCTGTCCAGTTTGGGCTGCTGTGTGAAGATAGACACCATCAGCTTAGTTGCAAAGCTACTTCTCTAAGACCTGCCGTTCTCCTGGCAAGCAGTGGCTGCAAGTGCTCGAAACCAACACTGCTCCTGCCTCTCGCCGTCCCCCTATAAATAAACAGGTACTGGTGGCTCATTTTCCCCTATCGAGGAAACACTGCTGCTGTTCACAGCAGTGCTGAAAGCCAGGCAGTCTGCCTGGCCGTGCCCCTCTCTGGTGGGCTCTTTCTTCTTTGCAAAGCCAAACCGTTTCTCAGTTGTCGCGCGTGTTCCCCTGGCACCTGCTGGTCCCCGTCTCGCTCCGTGGAGAGCTGTGGCTGCTGCTAACRTGCTTCGTGCCAAATTGCACCATAGTGCTGGGATTTGTGCTGAAGGGGGGGGGGGAAACCCCATTACAGCAATGCAACTTMTTGTATACATAACTTGACACAACTTGCCTTCTGTTTTTCCCTCCTTTACTGGGAATACACTAATACATTTCCCTTGACCTGGGAATGACTAAATAGTTGCAGTTCATATCCATAACTTACTGGATTGTCTCCTATGAAAAGCAGGCTCTGACGTTTTGCCTTTTGGTCTCTGAAGTGGAGTCCAAAGTGACACGAACCATTTGTCCTGGTTAAGTRATCCAGGTACAGATGGGAGTGGGAAGGGCAGAGGGGAAGGTGGCTGGTGCTCTACRGCTTGGCAAAGCTGAGCTTGCACCTTGGAGGGAGCTGTAGTAGGTTCCCTGTGATGCTTGTTCACTGTGTGGCATCTGGATGAATATTTCTGTCCCCATGTCTAAGAGGAGATGCTCATATGCAACACTAAGTCTCCAGGATTAATGGCTAGAAGAGGAGATTTCATCAGTGAGAGATTGAATGGAGTGTCTGGTTAGCTGAAATAACTTTTTTTTTTTTTTCWTTTTTTTTCCCCGTAATATCAGTATACAAGGAAATATCAGAAATACATTCTGAAAACTTTCTGGTACAAAATATTGATCCAGCTTAATTTTTAAGTGTGAAAGCAAATCTTTTGACTTTGATCCGAGTAAAACRTTGCTGCTCTAGTCCAAGAGAATATGGAGACAATTCCTACTCCTGTGTGACCTTGATTCGCTCCTGAAATAGGGAAAATGTTCCTGCTTTCCTGCCCATGCCATCATGTTTAAAGCTGTACAACTGCTGTAATAGCTTATTATTAAACGTGTGTACAAACACACATATTTATTACAAGGGAAAAGAGAATTTCAGTGTAATACCATGCATTGATTTTTATAGTCCTCAGAATTATACGTTAAAGACTCCTGCTTCTGTAGAGGAAAGCTGCTGCAGCCGAAGGAAACAAAGTGCTCTTTATTTAGAGCTGTCAATATTATTGACAAATAAAATATCCAGCTGCAGGACCTTTTAATAAGGGACGACTCTCYGTTTAGCCGGGTAACGGATTGCTCGTGCAATTGCTAATGGCTGGGGCATTAGTAAGCTTTAATTATAGCCCTTTCCTTCCCGACCTCTGTGTGTGTCGGAGATCCTGGATTCAGAGGCTCCTCCTGCCCCGATGCGACTCGTCCGTTATGTGTTTGCCTTCATCCACGCTTGTGTGTGGTATTCCTCGGAGAATAAGGCCTTGCTGGAGCTGATGAAGTGTCATTGTGTGTATCGCTACCTCTGCATCAGCAAGGCTAAACCAGAGCAGGTTTCACACGCTTCTGGCCAGTTCAGCTGCTGTTTTGGCTCCCACGTGGTGACCACGCCTGGAGGGAGCCGTGGTCCCGAAAGCCCTCGCGGGCGACGGGTGCGAGCTCCGAACGGGCTCGCTCCGGACCCGCTCGTGGTCACCCGGTGCCGGCAGCGCTCGTGTGCACGGGATCCTGCTCCAGGGCTGGGAGCGAACGGCCTGGARGCTGAGGGATGCGAGAGCGCAGAAGGGCATCAAGAAGCAAAACATGCAGGACAAACACCCTGAAAACATGTTTGCTTGCTGTGATCAGACCCGCTCAGACAAGGGTCCAGAGGGGAATTTGGAGGGATTGTTCTGAACCCGCACTGAGGGCGGAGGTGTCTGTGGCCAGCAGGGACACAGCCGCCCTGCCTGCTGCCTGGGTGCAGCTCCGGGGTGCSGGATGGGCCCCGAGGAGGCTGCTCTGCTCACGCAGCCTGAGCGCGCGGACGGGGCCGAGCGCGGCGCCGCACCGACGCTCTGCCCAGCTGAGCTGGGCGAAGGAGGAGCCCTGTCCTCTGCCAGCAACCACGGAGCCTCGGTGCCCAGTGCTCCCAGAKGTGAGTACAGAGCTCGCAGAGGACGTGCCTGCACGTGCCTGTGCTGGAAAAGGGGTTGAGGTGCCTGCTGAGGAGCTGCGGTGCCTCTCCTGCCCTGCTCCCCCCTGCCTGTCATGGACTAAGCAAGCACTTGTTAGTGGTGGCCAGTCTGTGCAACGCACTGGCCAACGCACGGGTTGCAAAGCCCGCGGAGCCCGCTGCTCCCTGCAGTTCTGCAGTGAGTGAGAAGGGCCTGGGAAAAGGGAATAAACTGCCCTTGTGCTTAGGTCCGCCTAGTGCTCTGGCTTAACAAGCTCTAGCAGTGGCGCTCGGCCATTCAAGTTCAGCCCTTGGCATACGTGGGGAGAAGACTGCAAATTACTTGTTCAGCCTTGTYTCATGTGTATGGGGAAGAACTATTTTAGTTTGTTTTTCCTCCTTCATCTTTCCAGAGAGCTTGTGGGTGTGGAGGAAAATAGAATTTGAAGTTCATTTTATCTACCTCTTGACCAGAAATTAGAAAAAATCCTTACGGAAGGAGAACTAACACTAGGGGAAAAAATTAAAAACAGTCGGSCTTCAGCTGTGGTGCTTTGGCCACATCAGCCACATGGATAACCTTGAAAGTGATTAGGGCAGAAATGGCGATGGGCCATCATGGTGATGGGTCATCACAATAAAAGGCCCTAGGGAGATGACTAATGTGTGACAAATTCCTGGTGTGGCAGATACTGGGATGCATGGAAGAAGCTTTAGTGATATGATCAGGATGAAAACATGAGCGACTCCTCTTGCGCCCCTTGCTTGGAGTGAGTGATGGTCCCGCTCAGCGTTCTGATAGTTGCACGTTAAATGGAAACCGTTCTCTTTGGGACATCATAACGGTTGGAAACGTGAAGCTGTGCTTGAKGGGAGGGCGTTTGTCTCCTCCTCTTCGCCCCGTGTACCAAACCACTCGGTTAGGGTGAGGTGGTGGTCATCTCAGTGAGCTTGCTGTGAGCTTCTGTGTTATCCCCTTGGCTGCAGAACACTCCCCTCCTGTCGAATCCCCCCAAATTGACTTCACAACGAGGTACCTAAAGAACGAAACGGAAGGAATATTTCCTTGCTAAAATGTACTGTGTGGAATGGGCTGAAGGGCTTGGTTGGAGCTCAGTGACCTGCGTTGTGGAATGGTGCAAAAATTAGCTGTTAGCAGAATATACTGCTGGGGAGAGGGGCTGCTTACTTTTGGTGGAGCTGTAAAATAAATTTAGTGAATTTTATCCTCTGGCTAGAGGACAACCTTCAAAAACTCATATGAAAATGTCATCATTCTTGTTTTGTGATCAGATTCAATGTTTACATATGTCACCCTCAGAGAATGAACTTCTTTCCCTTAGAGCATCAGCTTGGCTTTGCGTTACAGCTCTGTTCATCAAATTGCAATAACTTCGGGAGGTAGAAAGCAAAAAAACCCACAAGATTTGCCATGTTTTGTGTGTGTTGTAGGGTTTTTTGTTAATAACCTGTGTATGAAATAGAGCTATGCTGTCCTTTGAAGCTACGTGCACGGCAGGCTGGGCAGCACGGAGGATTTTCAAATCCTCCCTCCGCCCCGTCCTTGGTTTTCCCTTGTCATGGTAAAGGCGAGGACGGGGAAGAGCGAGGGGGGCTTAATCCCCAACCCCATTCTGCGTTAACAATGGTGGGATTAAAGCAAAGCTGAACTGTCACGGTGCGTAGCGGCTGCTGCCTTTCSTGGATGGCTGCAGCCGTTTGTATACATTTGCATTTGTTAGTATGTATATAAATTCCCACCGATTTCCATGTGGAGCTATTTCCCAATGCCAACGGAGGAGCAATGCAGCCGCAGGTCAAGCCAAGCCCCCACCTCTCCTGGCCCTTCTCCACGTGGCTGCTGAGGTGGCTTGGATTGGATGGGATGGGATGGTGTCAAAACCTCCTGCTCCCCACAAGAGACTTTCTGGAGAAAGACAAGAGCTTTTATTTGTTTGCTTTTAAAATTTGAACGATGAAGTATGTGAGCAAAGAATGCGATATATAATTGAGTAAATATTTGGCTTTGTATTGCTGAGGGAGGGAAGGGATTTGCTGATAAGTTGTTTATTCATATGATAGTGTGTCTTCTTTTCCATCTGTATTCCTAGTTAGCATTCTTCTTTGCTTTATGCCATGCAGTACATTGACATGAAATTAAAACCAACGTCAATTTTGTGCTTAAACAGTTCTATTAATGTAGACTTGGTCTCACCTGTGGTACTGACTTGTGTGCAGGAGCTGGGAAGCTGCTTCCATTTCTAGGAAGGCACCTTTCTGTGATCTGGATGTGTGCCTTGGCGTTTGGTTTCTTCTAGTGTTATCAGTCTACAGTTGTGCCAAATAAASTATTTGGGGCAGAACCCTCACACTGTGTGTATTAAATAAATAGAATTGTATCTAATAGATGAAGATGGATTTGCTGGGCACGATTCAGTGCTTATGAAGATCTTGGATGCTGAGCATGTACGTGAGCTCTGCTGCACGTTTTGCTCTGTAAACACTTCACGAATGTCARGGCTGGGCAGAGTGGTACCCAAGTGCCTGCCGTGCACCTCTCTGCAGGTTGTCAGCCTCGGTCTCTAATGACTGCTGTTAGGAATCTATTAGGGAAGAGCGTTTATCTCTGGAAATGAGGATAGCAGSCACGCAGCACAGACAGATCGCGTGTCTAGCCTTTCCCCAAGATGATGGTACTCGTGATAGGCTTCTCTTTGCGTCTGCAGGTACGGTGACCTCTTCTGGCTTTGGTGAGGGTGGTAGCAAATGCCATTTGGTTCCCTAAATTCAAGTAAGTATGTATGGTCTTAAGTAGTCTTAAACTGAGGAGTGACTAAGGACTGAAGAATCCCACCCTAAGGAATGMTATTAAGTAATAATTCTTTTTCTGGTGTAAATATGAACATCTGCAGCTGGGTGCTGCAGTGGGATGGCTGAGGCTGTAATGTGGTGACCAGAAGAGCTGTGTGCAYGCTGTGTGTGGGGGGTGGCTTACTATTAACAGCAGTAGATGATGTGGTTAATAGCTTCTCATAGCTTCTGTAGTTGGCTTCTTGCTGTTCTCTTTCTTCTTGGAGCTGCCCACAGGCTTGTGAGGTGGAAGGGAAGGAGTCCTGCAGCCGCTGGATTGCTCGGATACGCTGGGGTTGGCTTTTGGAGGAAGCAGCAGTGACAAAGGCCCTGTAGCCCCTGTGGCCTGAGCTTCCCAAGCGAGAGCATCCAGAGCTTGGGAGCCTTGTCCGGGTGGCAGGGAGAAGGGGCCGAGCCCCTGGTGCCGGTGGCCTGGCTGTGAGCGGGGACTCAGCGGTGGGTTCTGCCTTCCCGYTTCGGGCAGGAGCCGGCGTGAGCAGATGTCCCTGAGGAGACTTCGCCCGGCAGCGGGAAGCAAAGGCACCGATCCCCTCTTTCCTTGAGCTGCAGAGGAGCTGTTTGGAGTGACGGGCACAGCGGAGTGTCCCACGTATCCCCCACGTGTTAGCGGTTAAGGTCTGAAAACTACATGTGACTCAGAATGTTTTCCTGGTTTTGGTTTTTGGTTGCTGTTTTGGTGGCAGTCACTCGCGGTGCCCCCAAGCCTTTGCTCGCTGGGCGCTGCGCGGCTGAGCGGGGACGGTGAGGGTGCCCAGGAGCCCAGCGGCTCTTAATGCTGCACGATGGCCCTGCTTGAGCTAGGTTGTGTGACTGACTTTCGTTAGAAAGAAAAAATACAGTCTGTTTTTGTGGACTTCTGGACCCCTGAGAGGACTCGGGTTGCTGTGCTGGTGTCCCATTGCCACAGCTGTGAAAACGCTCTACGGCGTTTAGTGCTGCCCTAGTCTTCCCATGGCATCCCTGTCCCAGATGAAGCCTATACGTTAGGGGAGAAGTGCTGTGGACCATGGCCCCGTGGTCACTGGTAGCACTGGAAGGAGAGCCTCCCTCCTCTGGAACGGATCCAATTGACCATTCCGTGGAAGCAGGCAGAGATCTCTGCACGTTGGCAATCACGCCTGGTCCCCAAGGACCAGAAATCACTCAACCTTTACAGAAACCGTTTGAGGAGGCTGCTTAGCTTTTGCTGGGCTGGTCGTCTTTCATTTTCCTTGCTGAATGTCCTCCAATTCAGCTAGAAGCTTATTTTTAACTTACTCCCTCCTTCTGGACCTAAATTCTGCTTTTCCTTTCTTGCGGGGGCTTACTGTGAACTGTCTTAATCTATTTAAACTCTATTCCTTAAAAACATATTATCTGATTTATTTTGTGGGAGGTCACCTGCTTCACCACATTGTTCAAAACTGAGCCCAAACCCTCGTGCCTGCGGTGTTGAATAGAGCATCCCTGGCACGGSAGGAGCATGGCTGTCAAAACACTTGGGGCAAGGCGGGTAACGTGGACGGCTCTTGTATGTTAAATATTTATAGAAGGAAATGCAGACGCAGAGGAATGCTGCCAGCAGGCTTGAATACAATGTCAYGGTGGCGATGACGTGGGTCTCCACAGTGCAAGTTTAGGAAGAACGCGGCAAGTTGCTTCTACTTGTGCCCAATCTTAACGGGGAGCTCTTTCTTCGTATGGAAAGAATATGAGTAGGAACTGGAAGTTTTGGAAGAGAAAGGGCAGCTTTATGTAAGTTGCCAGTCTGGTGCCCCGGGAGGATCTGCCTTCTTTGCCCACCGGCCTTCTGCCAGACTCGCCATCGTAAAAACTCAACGCGCTCTTGTCCGTGTAGCCTCCAAGTCAGGCACATCATTATTTCAGGTCCTCTGGTACAAACAAGGATGCGCTGCAAGTAAACAGATGGCAAGGAGAAAACCATGCAACGAAACCTGGCGCTGTGTTATGGTAAATCTACGTTGTGCTCTTTAGCTGCCTTCCTAGACAAGCTGACTTGTGCTCTTTTGGGTGTCTTCCAAGTGATACACCGTGGCTGTGATCAACGTGGCTGTTGTGCTGCCTTAGATGATAAGTTGGGCCGTTGGATGGGTGGCCCAACGCAGCCATAA